CAATGATATAAATGTATGATCACATAAAATAATGATTGAGATCTTAAAAAATAAAAATATAAAAGTATACTAAGTGGGTAAGCTCGTGAGCCAACTAGACTCATCACAAGTTAGCTCATAGTAAGTCAGGTTATAAGTAGATCGGATCAAATTTTCCTTACAATTGAAATGGGTAATATTTTTTAACCAACCCAATTCAAACCCGTGATGAATTGAATTGCCTAAAAAATTCTGACTCATTTTGACAATTTTAGAAATTATGATGATCATTACAATAATTAATTCAAGATAAAGAGAGAGTCAAATAAGGATGAAACTACATGGCATTCTCCCATCTCCCAAAGATATGAAATACCTATGTATCTCTAGTAAAAAGAAGAAAATTGTCCCCCCAATGTTACACCCCCCATTAATTACAAACTATGAGTATTAATCATTTTAAAAAAATGTTATGTAAAATTAATTAAATAAAACATTCTATAATATTAAAGAATAGAGTTAAAAAAAACAAGTTTATTGATTACACGACAGGTACACTTTATTACAAGTCACCATTACAACTATTTTTACCTTAACTATTTTTTTTTATACAAATCCCTTTCATATTTCTTATATATATTTCACAAGGAACGAGACTATAGATTATATAGCGGATTAATGTGCCTGTATTATTTTAGGTGTCAACGGTCCACTGCAATCCTAAGAATATGACATGAATGAGTGTTATAAAGAGTTCAAGATTTAGAGTAGTCTTCTATTTTAATATATTTATTTATTTATTTAAAAAGAATACTCAAAGAAAACAAAAAATACAAAAGGAGTGAGAATAAATATCATATAGGTCATTAAAAAAAATAACCATCCAGTAATGCTCCAATACAATTTTTCTTTTATAATAAGTACATACACATTTTTATATTCTATTTTACAATTGATTTTTGACAAGTTTTATAGTAATTAATTAAATGAGATAAATGAGTTTTATCACAACATAATACTACAAGAATCACCTACTTGATCAAATATATATATTCATTAAATCTCCATTTACAAACTCATGTCTTTATCCATGAATTTAAATCTTTATTACTTATAACATGTTGTGTTAACTAACTAATAACAATGACTTACTTATCATAATTATGATTAATATCTACTATCATCATAATAATAATAATAATTATATATATATATATTATTTTATTTATGTAACAACCATATGGAAATATAAATAGGAACCATAAAAAAATAGATATTATAAGTACAGACATATAGTTTTTTTTAATCTTAAACGTTTAAACAATTAATATAATATAAAAAATAATATAAATAAACTTGACATTATTTTATTTGATTAAAAGTTAAATTTTAAATAGAATAATTGCTGACAATAATTAACATACTAAAATGAGTTAAAGAAAACACAAACAACATATATAAAATGATAAAGAAAATAAAAATTGTTAAATAATACATTAGCAGTAGTTAAATAACATAAAATAATAAATATGATGATGTTAGAGACACCCTATCAAATAATTATAGTTATATATAATTTTTTTAAAAGATGATAATAGATGTCTCCTACTTAATTTTCTTTTTCTTCTTTCTTCTTCTTCTTTAGCCACCGCAAACTTTCCCTTTTTTATTATTATTTTTTTTTTCTACCTCTCACTATCTTAGAATAAAGACGAGTTAGAGAAAAAGAGTTACACCAAACTTTGAAACCATTGCTCCTATTTATAGTAAAACATCATGATTTTATCTGGTTAAAAAAATATTTATTATATAAGATAAAATGAAGTACAATCATGTGCCTTTGCAGTTCTCTTTCCTTGATTGATGTATAGCTTATCATCGTTAAGCCACCATGTGAGATTTTTATTTTCTTCTTATGAGTCTACTATATTTATCCTACATTCACGAATCTAGTGTAGTTACAAGGCTTGCCACTAACACTTGTATTTTTATTTCGTTATTTTTTTTAGAAAATGTTTTATTCATTAAATCCTCATTATATAACTTATTTAGTAAATCCTTAATTATACCTGTAGGTATATTATATATATATATATATATATATTATCATTCTTTTATTTTAATTTATTTTTTATCTTTTAAAAAATATATGATTGTTTTAATAAGCAAATGTGTTTAACAAGAATAATGATATTTATTTCATACTAATCAACGTTGCAAAAATTTTAGAATGTTACACCCAGACCTTACACGTATAATAATAAATTAGTCCCACCTGCACAGTTAATTTAACCCTCACAATTACAAGTTATTAACGGCACCACACATGGTAAGAGTGTTGCTTAAATAAGCTTTTCAAAAAACTTATAAGAAAAAAAATAGTAAGAAGAAAAATCAAAATAAAATTATTTCTATATATATAGCTTGTAGCCTCGCTTTCAAGAGGCTAACCATCTAATTATAGTAAACTTTATTATTTATGCTTTTCATAGTTATTTTGAACTACTAAACATGCATGTCCACAAGCAATGTGCTAGGTTTAATATTATCTATTCACAACATTTTGTTTAACCAATTTAAATGACATAAAGTATGCATGCATTTGTTATATTGGATCATCCAAATCAGAAGTCGTCAATAATTAACTACATTGCATGTTTCATTTAAAAGGAGATTGATGTCATGTACTACTCACGTGTACCCTTTACTAAATAATAAAGACCAATTTTATTCGGCCACCGAAGCTTGTAGTTGTACTATATATATGAAGTATCAATGCATGGGGGCGGAGTAGGATGGAAAATAATTTTTTAAAAAAAGTACATGTGGTACTTTGAAATTATTAGTTTCTTTTAATTATATAAAATAATTAGTTTTAGTAAATTTTATTATGTATATCATAATTATTTATTTTTGATAAAATATATTACATGAAATTATTTTTAATATATGTATGTTTTAAAATTAATTATTTTAAAACATATATGTGCAAGTTCATAATCTTCTAGTTATAACAACATGTAACTCATAAATTAAATGAAAAGAGACATGCAAAAACAACACTCCAAACTGATCATCCAACCTTGTCCACCAAGAACACTAAGACCCCCAACTTCAACATTCACTCTATTCAAATTCAACCAATACAATTACACATTTTCAAGGAATTGACCAGCATTCAACTTCACAAATAAATAAACAATCCATCTGAAAATTAAAAGTCCAACTTCCCTTACCTGTTTTAGAACCAAATTTGCAAGAGGAAAAAGGAAAAAAACGACTTTGTTCAACTTCGAGCCAAGCCCTCCTAGACACCAACTTTGAATCCTCAATTCAACAACTTTGATTGGCTACAAGAAAGGATAAAAAAGATTCTTAGCCAAAGAATGAAAAAAGAAGATTTGCTCACTAAGAGAATTTCTCACTATATTTTCTCTCCAAATTTCTAAAAATTTAAGTTATGAACCCAAAACTTAAAAAATAAAAAATAAAAAACCCCTTTTATACTTTTATTTTGTTGAATCAACCTAACATACAATAATACAACTCACATAAAAGAGGCAGCCTAAAACATGAGTGTTACAATAAAATTTTTAGGCAACTGACATTTTAGATTTTTTTTTAATTCTTTATCTAATTTAATTTTTATTTATCATATTTATTTATAAATTATATTTTAACATTTTAGATAAATTATAAATAATTAAAATAATTTTGTATAATAATATAAATTATTTATCATAAAATTAAAATATAATTTATGTTTAAAAAATATCTATTTATAAATTTTTTAAATATAATTTATACTATATTTTTTTTATCTATAATTCATACTATAATTTTATATATAAATTATTATATATTAGTTTATATAGTATAATTTGTATCATTAGAAATATATTTTTTTTTATAAGAATCGAGACATCGGTTTCTACTTTCTAATGTATTTATGTGGGCTAGCATGTTAGTATCAATCCAGGCTTTTATAATTAAAAATAAAATAAAACAACTTGCAGGTTGCAGCGACTCGTTACACACTTTTGGTATACCTTCCCCTCCCAATGGCCTAACATTAAAAAATTTAACGTATAGCGATCCATAACAAATTTTCATTTTAAAGATTGTAACAATTTGGTAGATATTTACATTTATATAAATATGATTACGATACTAAGGAGGTCTATAACTCAGTTGGTTAGGAAATGTGAGTTGTTGTAAGCTTTGTACTCCATTCAATTTTTCTGGATAAAAAAAAAGATTAAGATGTTTTTTTTTTATATATAATCAATTTTGTTAAATTTTTCTTATTTCTTCTCTACCAAATTTCTTTCTTTTTTCGTAAATATTCAATATCACAAAGTTTAATTTCATTATTTTTTTTATTTTCACATTTCAAATCCATATCTCTCTCTCTCTTTTCTTTTTTCATCCAATGAATACAAACCAATTCAATGTCAAACCTTGGTTTAATTTGATGCAAAACTGTTAACCTTCCGTTAATTCAAATTGTCAAAATCATTCATTGTCACCAAATAAAGAAAAAACTTAAATTTGAAGAATTTTCAATTTTAATATACTCTCATTTTCATATCGTTTTTTTGATGTGTTGGAGCCTCTACCAATTAACCCGATCATGATCATAAGACTTCAATTGGCACTAGAGGAGAAAAATCATTTAATTAAGAGGGAAAAAAAATAAAAAAAACCAATGTATGAATTTGCACATGAATCTCTATTATTTTTTACTCAAATTAAGTTAGACAATATTATGCTGAAAAAGAAGAGCCAACTAAATGCAATATAATGTGAAGCGTGTTTCTACTAAATTTATACTTTATATATACAACTCACGTGGAAGCATATTACTTTTTTTTAAAATCGTTGAAAACTTGTATATATGTATCTAAAGCAAGGAAGCAGACGAATCCAAACATCCCAATCGTGGAAATTTGGCAGTTGAGAATGTGATTTGTAATATAATAGCATGAGAAAGAGGAGGAGCTAGCGAGTACGTACGCAAGTATCACGAAATAGTTGGCGTTTCACCACTGCACCATTACCTTATAATAAAATGTTTACAAAACATATACTATCATGCATCCCTCCACTCCACATCACATTGGTGAGTAGAGTAAAGGCATGCAATATTAATGCAAATTTCATCTATACACTAGACAGTAGACACCTTAACCTTAACCTTAAGGTACGTAATTAAGTAAACTAATAACACAAATTAAAGGGAAGGACGACACATCATCATTCTATATTAATTAAGTATTCTTATAAGTAATTATTATTCCTTTATTTAATCCGATGATGTATCTATATTATATTATATTATATTATCATCCATCTGTTTAATTAAGTAAATGAAGAGCGAGCATGCGCATGATCACTTAGCATTCAAAGTACTTGTTATCTTTTCCAGCAGCGGGCGGAGATCCCGAGGGAGCACGTTCACCTTCAGCCCGTACTTCATGAAGAGTGTCAGCGACATCTTCTGCTCCACGCGGTGCCCGGGAGCCACGGCCAGGCGGTGGCGGAGGAGCACTGCGGCCGCGATGGACTTCATCTGCAGATACGCCAGGTCCTTCCCCAAGCACAGTCTCGGTCCCGCGTTGAAAGAGACAAACTTGTAAGAGTCCTGAACCTGAATCTTGTCACCTTCCGGCGAGAGCCACCGCTCCGGCTTGAACTCCAGGCAATCCTCTCCCCAAACGAACTTCATCCTCCCAACCGAGTAAATGGAATAGGTCACCGCCGACCCTGCTGGAACGAAGGTTCCACTCGGCAAAACGTCGTCGTTCACCACGTGCTTTGAGTCCTCCGGCACGGAGGGGTACAAACGCAGCGTTTCGGAGAGCGCGGCCTTGAGGTAGACCAAGCGATCCACCTCCTCGAACACGAGGGGCTCCTCCAGCCAGGTGGAGATGTTTTGTCCACGTGTGGACATCAGAACGGTGCAAAGTTCGGTGAGGATGTTTTCCTCCACGCGCGGGTTCTTAATGCAGAGCCAGAAGAACCAGCTGAGGGCAACGGATGACGTGTCACGTCCAGCGAGGATGAAGTTGAGCGCCACGTGTTGGAGAAACTCGTTGGAGTAGGATTCCTTTTTTCTCATAAAGCGAGATAATAAATCGTCGTGGAGGGACCCACCTCCATTCAGAAGCTCGAGTTTGCGGTTCTCGATGATGTTGGAGAGGTATTGGTCGATGTGTTTGAGGCTGCGGCTTAGGCTCACTTCCATTCCGAGTCGAAGCCATCTCTTGAGCTTCCACATGATTTCTGGCAGAATGAAGCGTTGTAAAGTGGCTTCCGTGGCGCTGTCGAACGAGAGAGCGAAAGCGTTGTCTGGAAGGTCCGCGGCTAGAGTCTGGGGGTCTTGCCCGAAAGCCAACCCGCATATGTTGTCAAACGTCAGCCGAAGCAAGAGGTCTTGAAGATCCACCGGCTTCTTCTCCCTCTGAGCCGCGGCTAGAATGGGACAGAACCGGTTCTTGATGGCTCGGTTCACCCAACGCCCCATTGCCTGCCGCAGCGTGCGCGTTGTGAATTCCAGCGCGGCAGTTTTTCGCTGGAAGAGCCACGTGTCACCATCGGAATTAAAGATACCCTCGCCTAACAAATCATGAAATGCGGACTGCCACGTAGGGCCCTTGGGGTAGTTGTCGAAGCGGAGCTTCAGGATGTGCTCCAGGTTTTTGGGGTCGCACGTGACTGTCACCAGACACTGTTTTCGGGCGAGGAAAGGGATGGCACAGATGCAGGTTTGGTACGTGCCGCCGCACGCGCGGAGGTTGTCGGCGATCCAGTCATGCATGCGGCTGGCGTGTTGGATAAGGCCTGGGAGGCTGCCCAATAGGGGCCAGACACGTGGACCCTTGAGGGAGCGAGTCACAAAGGTGAACCATATTAAATAAGCCGCTATTGCGGATAGGATCATTAAAGCCGTTGATGCGTCCATGTGACTGAGGGGCCCAACTCCCTTTATTAGTTGCACCTTCCCACACCCGAAAACTAACTCCTCTTCTCACCCGAGAGGAGAAGCAGCTATACCAAATTAAAATGGATGCATTAGTTCAATGTAGCAGCTTTAACTAATGCTTCCAAACAAGGATTTAGTATGAAATGAACCGGGACTAAAAAGGGTTTATAAAAAAAAGTGAATTGAGGGTGGGTGTGAATGGTGAATGAAATATGTTGCATGCAAATAACACGAGTGGAGAATATGTGTTGAAGGGGCCAGTGGAAGAGGAAGCAATGTTGGGTGGGAAAGAAATGAGATGAAGAAAAGGAGTAAATTAATTAGTAGCGAGAGATGAGGCACATACTATGAGAGAGGAGAGACGGAGCAAGTTGAGAGTTGAGAGTTGTGAGGGAAAAGGAAAGGAGGGAAAATGTGTCTTATAGTAGTGAGGCGCAAAGAGGTACAATAAATAAGGAGTGGAGATGCTAGGTGTTGTTGAAGATTTCAATGGTTTAGGCTGCATTTTCTTCCCTTCTCCGTAGCCTCGAGTGGCATATGAACCCGCCCTCATTAATGCCCACCGAGGTCGTTGAGTGTACAAACAATAATGTTATTTCTGATTTTAATTATAACTTTATAAGTAATATAATAGAAAAAGATTATAATAATATCTATATAACTTTTACTAAATATTATATCATTTAATAATCTTATATTAAATATGAATTTTATAAATTTAATCGTTAGATTAAAAATTCTTTACTCTTAAATCATGTATATAAAATTTTATATTAACTTAAGATAATTTGATATTTCATTCTTATAAAATAAAATTGACGTGATATATATTTTAAAATATATTAAAATATGAACACTTTGACTACCTTAAAGTTCTTGTTTAATTTTAACAAAATTTGATATACACGTTTAAAGTGATATGAACTTTTAATCTAATTGTTGAATTTACAAAATTTACATTTAATATAAAATTATTAAAAAATATAATATTTAATAAAAATTACACTGATGTTATTATAATCCTCGTCAATATAATATATAATAACGTAGATAACTTATGTCTTAAATAAAAATGTATGGTCTTATCTATTTAAATTTTTATCTAATTTATTTTAAAAAAAATTAAGTTTAGTTTTTTAATAAAATTATTTATTTAAAAATATTAAATTTAAACTTTAAAAGAATTATTAGGTTCTAATAGTTCATCTTATTTATCTATATAATATAATAAAAAATAATATACATATTTTATTATTAAATAATATAAATAAATAAATTTTTAATAAATAAATTATATTTTAATATTTTTGATATTTTTACTAATGTAATTAAACATTTACATTTACCGTTCATAGAAAATCCAAAAATAAAAAATAAAAAATCTAGCAATCATATATTTGCTTTTTTTTTTTGCCTTTATCAATGTTTATTTATAATAATCCAAATGGGATATAGGAAATATTAGATTTTTTTAATAAAATTATCTTATTTCATTACATCTAAGTGTACTTTAGTGTTATGTACATGAATTGTCTCCTCTTATATTGATTTTTTTTATTTTTATTAACTCTAAATTGTAATAAAATAAACTATTTCTTATCATAATTTTTTTTTATAAAAAAGACTCATATATGTATTTAATTTTTTATTATTATTATTATTATTACTTATAATTAAGAAGAAAAAAAAATACATGGCCAGAACAAGGACTATATTTACATTAATTATACCTAAGACAAAATGTAACATTTTAGCCTTACTTACAATAACCTACTAGCATTTTATTTTTATTTTTATGGTTTCAAAAAATAAACAACTAAATAAAAATAAAATAAATGAAAATATGGGTAGAATAAAGTAAAAATAAGATTATCCGCCTTATCTATGCTTTTATACTAATTTTTCTAACTATTTTTGGTCTTTATAATTTTTGAACTATTACACCTTTGATTATTAAGAAAAAAGAACAATAAAAAACAATATTTTAGTAACTATCATCAATTGATTTTTTAAATAATTGTCCATTTCATTATAATTTTAAAAAAATAAAAATAAATATTCAAAGAGACATTATTTGACCTACTGAGAAATGAAGAGGAGAAAAAAGAGAGAGAAGAAAGAAATATACAATCAAATTTTCTTCTCATTTTTTCAATTTATTTATGTTAAAAGTATTTGAAAGAACTCTCAAAGTTTGAAAAAATATTCTTTGGAGCATGATAATCGATTACACAATGAATTAAGGTTAATGAGATTATGTAAACAAGATATTTTCTATAGTTTAATTGATTGTTGTTTTAATTGAATACAATAAGGCTTGTTTACTTATGAAAATAAAGTGTATGTCTAGTTTAATTGATTATAATGTGTATGAGTGATATGTAACCATATATTTTTTTATAAATAGATCATGATAATAGATTACACTTTATTTTAATATATTACATCCCTCATTATTTGATTTTTAAATAATTAAATTTTTATATTTTAATCGATCACTAAGGTTGTAATTGATTATAACATTCATATTTTTAGCATGAGAACAAATATTTTTGTTGTTTTAATGAATTAAATTGTTTACCAAAGTAAACTCATAAAGCTTTGAGAGAAAAAAAGTATAGATTGATTTTGTAAAATTTTTAAAAAAAACTAAGAATTATTTGATATTTTATTTCTTTAATTCAAATTTAAAGATAATTATATAAGTATTTTATAAGTTGATTTAAATCAGTGAAATGATGTATTAAATAATTTTTAATTTTAAAAAAAAAATTATATTTGAGCTGTACATTAAGAATCTTTAATTTAATGATTAAAATTATAAATTTTGATATAGAACATAGGTCATTGGGTTAAGTAAGTCTGTCAAGAGTTACTCTTACTCACATTTAATTTTTTCAATAACTTATATTTTATATCAAATTTTAACAATTCAATTGTTTAATTAAACGTTTTTAATATATAGATCAAGTTTGTAAATTTAAAAAAAAAATTAAAAATTATTTGATATTTTATTTCATTAATTCAAATCAACGTATAAAATAATTTATGATTATTCATCAATTTAAATTAATGAAACGAAATATTAAATAATTTTTAAAATTTTTAAAAATTTGTAGACTTGATCTATGTGTTAAAAAGTTTTAATTTAACTGTTAAATTATTGAAATTTGATGTAAAATAAGAGTTATTGAGTTAAATAAATTTATTA